GATGTACAGTTTTGGTCACCGATGTGCACTTTTGAGTGGATATCTTTGCAGCAATATTGCTGGGATATTGGCTAAATTTTGCCCTACCAAGTGCCAAGGTGCGAATATTTGACACATTAAGGTGAAGGAATTTGATGCAGTTTACGTTGCCGTAAGCTTTTGCTTGCTTCAGTTACATTTGCTGTGTTGCGATAGAAATATTGAGAGAAGGCAGCTATTTTTATGGATATTGATCAACATATAATGCGTTATGCACTCATGTGGTTTGAACGACCCGATCTGCCACGGTTAAGGTCAGTATGTTAAGCCGATTTCAAAATAGGCATCATGGCCGGGCCCCAGTTTGTTGCTGGCCCACATATGGGTCGAAGAATGATGATGCGTGATTAGAGTGGGTACATTTGTCTGCATCATGCAGGTGGTTTCACCTGTCTACCTCGTCTGGTTGCCAAACTCTGGTATGGCGCACTTAAAACTTCCGAAAGAGGGATGGCCCAGGCTTGCGCACGATTCTGAGGCGATGGTCCGCACACATAGACTCATGCTTTTGCCAGTACGCAGCCGGTACAGCTGTCCGTTTTTTCCTCTGTCAGCATTAGTCTCATGACGCTGTGTTGCCTGGCTGCCGAGATCCAAATATGGTTTCAATTCACAATCTTCAGGCTTTTCACCATTTGAAATATTGTTTTTGTACGTCCGTCGGATGGGGTGGTTAAATAGTGATGCTATTGTAGCGTTGCATAAATATGACGTCCAGTCAAACAGGTTGCGTTTGATTCTCACGACACTATTGTTGACCGGCCGTTAACAGAGGTGCTATTTACTGCTGCAAACTTGATGGTGATACGATCGGTGGTTGAAAAAATACGAGCCCGTCAGCAGCGTGACTGACGCGGCTATGCCGGCCCGTTGAAGCAATAAAATCTGCGAGTAGTTGATATTAAATGGGCTGTTACATTTTTACGGGTTTTCGAAATGGGATAGCCATTTTTGAGATCATGAGTTATTCCCCTCTTAATGCTTCAAAACCTCTCAAAAAACAAAGTACTGTATATGATTCAGCCCTTCCGCTTCAGTGACAATATCGACACGGTTAGTCTGGCACGGACTCCGACTCTCTGACAACGTCGAATGACGTATTTAAGCGATGATGTATTGCGGGGCAAATTAACTAAACGGTAAAACTGTGTTGTATAGAGTAGTTGTTTGCACTTAAAACACACCAATAAGCATGAGTGAGCCCTTTTCATTAAATCTGATGTTTGCCTGAACATCTTCAATTGTGGAACATTTTCTTCTAGACCTTCTCGACCAGCGGTCGCACCTACAACAGTCCTAATTTGTGTGCAAAAATAGGGCCTCGGCAATACCACATGTGACGTTTGCACCACACACCAATCAGCTTCTTCCTGAACCAAATTTCGTTAGGGGAATATAAGCCATCAAAACAGGAAAAGTTGTAAACGGTCTCACCCAATGCAGCACGTGAAGTGTTGCCACAATAATAACATATTTATAACACTTAAGTTGTAATGCTAAATTGTCCTTGCCAAGTAAAATCTGCACCACTATTAGTAACTGAAATAACAGGCAAGGATCAGACATGATCGAATAAGCTCACTTATAACTAATGGTGTATTTTTCAGTGGAAAAGAATGCTCAAGACAGTACAATGTATCTATTTAGTATGCATGCCCTTCAATACTTCATTGTTTGATTACGTTATCGTACCCTGCACAATATTGATTGAGAGCCAGCTGACCGCCGTTAGGTCTGGAAATAATGCTCACAAACGTCAGATATAATCGAATCCACAATGATAGTTTCCTTGGCATTGATCACTGCATGGTTAATGGAATGGCAGGATCTGAATGACGTTATTATGGCGTCAGGGATGTCTGGGTGACCTTGAAAAAGTTTCTCCGAATTTGAGCATCTTTGCTTGCGTGCGGCTCAGAAACCAGAGGGGTTTAAATCTTGAGGGCAGGACTGAACTGCACCAAATGGTATTCAAGATGGCCATTGCAGTTCAAAACCCATACAAATGTGGGACACCATCTTTAACCTGCGCCCGGCCGTGGGTCTGAGACAACCACGCCCAACCGGAAGGAGTTGACTTCGCTCCTGGGATCTTCAACTTACAGCCGTCGCACGAGTAAAACAAGGACACTGTTGTGAAGGTCTCGTCAAATCAAGACAAATTCCCATCAAATTGTCGAACTAAGGTTAAATGTGAGATCATGAGAGGTCACGAAAGGAAAACAAAACGGTTGTTCAGATAGATGTAATTAAAACATATGGTCATGCGTCGAGGCGGATATTGAGGCACGTAAGTAAGCGTTAAGACTATGGGAAGTTCATTCCAACCATTTTTGCTCCACACAAGAGTCAGGTCAGGTCAGATCAGGTCACCATTTAAAATGGGTCTGCCAGTATCCTTCCAGAACGATACTCTTTTCTTTTCTTTTCCAATGTGCTTCTAAGTTTATTTTATTATGTGCAGCTGTGGGAATAGTACCCCAGACACAAAAATACCATTTTAGACTGACCCAGAAGTCAGCTGAGGTCAACTTAGTTGCATTCGTTAGCCACTGAAATGGTACAAAATGAAATGCTAGCCGGGTCTAACTACCCGGCAGCGCGCAGTTTAGCAAAAGCTTTTTTTTTTAAATTAGGTCACCAAATGAATCATATGAGTATGTTACATCTGTCAGTGATTTAGCTCGATTTTTCGGGGTTTTGATGGCCCTAGACCTTCAAGTGAGGCGAAGCCTACAGAGAAGAGCGCACTTTATCGAGATGTCCCCACTTTGCTATCTCAGTTCAAAACTCACAGCTCCACAGAGTATCTGAGGATATTAAATCCCACAATAGGCCTCGGACAGGTCACAGACACAAAAACCTCATAGGAAGATGAAATGTTCTCACGTACGGGTCGCTGAACTGACTGAGTAAATAAACACGCGGAAGCAGGACAGTCAACACCAGCAGCATACCGGGTGACCGCTCGGATAAGTATTTTCCTGAAATAGATCATCGTCAGATACACAGCATTGCCAGCATGATTGGCTATCCATATCTTATCTGGGCTGCTCCGTTTTCTTCTGTGACCGACATTCTTGCCCTCCGTCGAGCGACATAACGTTTATCGATAGCACGGTCCGGACATGCCGCCATAGTTAAGGGATATCAAAGTACAGTCGCCTAGCGAACGGGTCACGTGGCCGGTGTATCATCACACTTTTGGTCGGCCGTCCGCAGCAGGCAATTGGATATCAAAGTACAGTCGCCTAGCGAACGGGTCACGTGGCCGATGTATCATCACACTATTGGTCGGCCGTCAGCGGTAGGCAATTCACACAAAGGCTTTTCAACATCAACATTGTTTGCGATATCGGTCTGAAATACGCGATGTGGAGCTGGCTAAAGTTAGTGACTCAGAGAAGTCGCGTCCACTGGAGGTGTGGGCATCAAACTTGTGTTCGACTCGAGCCGAATCGTGAATCGGCTCTGGAGTCTTTTGATGTGGGATGAGTTGTGAGCTGAGTCGACCCACTAGGAAAAATGTCGCTTTGAGTCATGAACTCAATCACATTCTTCGTAAATCTCACGAGCTGAATCGTGAGCCGATCACTTTTCTAACAAAGCTTTTTGTAAGAAATTTCATTTCTAATAAAGTTTCTTGAAAAAATAAGCACAAAGCCGTTATTGTTATTTCTACAATATCGTTGATCCTGGACTTAGGTTTGCCAAGTCGCAGCCAGGAACCCGAGGACATCACATGGTACAGGCGTACTACATTCCAGGTCCTATTTCAAAATCAGCGAAAGGTTGTCTGCTACGTATAAACTTGAAGGGATGGTCATATTTTTCATTGCCAGTTGTCACAGCAACGAATTGATCCTACCTGACCCCCCCCCCCCCCATTCACTACTACCTGAACTGCTGTAAGCACGCACTTTGCTGAGGCTTTATGAAATGAAAAGCAATAGCGGCAAAGCCGTCTCGTCTCATATGCGTGTTGTGTGTCGCGGAATGTGACATCCCGGGGAATGGCATCAATGCATATTTCCACTTAACACACAACTTGCAAGTGAGAATTTGGCCCCTAAATTCAGTAGTACTGGGATGCGGTTTAAGTGGCGCATATCACTGTTCGCACGGTTAAAGTGGCGCATAGCACTGTACTCACGGTTAACTGGCGCCTAGCACTGTACGCGCGGTTAAAGTGGCGCATAGCACTGCACGCAGCGCGCTAGCCTGTTTTGACTCCTCATTCATCAGAGTGCCCAGACGAGATGAGTTTAAGGCATCCTGGTGGAAACGTCAGTGGGCACCTACATCAGCCTATCATTGGCTCAGCTGTTCAGTTCAGTTCAGTTCAGTCCCTTGCTGACTGGAAAACGGGGGTCGAGTGGAGAGGATTTTTTGCTGGGCTTGTTTGTGAAAATGCAATCCTAATTCGTAACACTTCTTACTTAAGAAAGCTAAGTTAATGATATTCGCAGTATTCATAAATATACCTAACTTATGTTACTTAATCGCTGTTGTAACAACTGCAACCCAATGTTAAATTGCGGATTGCCATCGTCGACAGCATGGCTGGTATTTGCTGGTGGAAATGTGATTACCTACGTGTGAATGCGCTTGGCTGCCACTTCACAGATGCAGGCTGCCAACTGTCAGGTTTGCTGCAGTCTAGCCCACATTGCATGCTATGGAACTGATGGGTCTGGGTCACAGGTGTCAGGTAGAATGTGCTAGCATTGAGCTGAGAGTTGAGAGTTGGTTTGTAAGAGGTTACAGGAGAAGTATTATTTGCTGCACTGTATTTGCGAGGTACAAACTACAAGCTTGCTACTTGGCTATAGTCGAACGCCATTCCGGTGGCCACAACGCTGTGTTACACATGCGTAGTCAGAGCGTCACTAAATCCAGCTGTCACCATCACCAACCCTAACTACACGTGCCCTCAACGAACACACGTGATTTGTACTTACTCTGGGTCGAAAGGCGCGATTGAGCTGAGTCCCAGCCGATCTATAGCCAACCGAACCTTCTGACGCTCTTCCAGAATAAACAGGCTTTCCTGAGCAGGAGAGAACACATCAGTAAATTAGGACGCGTAATGATACTCGGTGCATTTAGAGTACGTGCATGCTCATTATTTGTCATTGTGATGGCTTGGCCATCCCATCAGGGTTGTTCCTCACAAGTATGTACATGCCTGAATGTACAATATCATGAACATGTCAATGCCCTAAGGTAAAGGGCATGGACATGACATGCCCTACACTCTTAACATGGCATCCCCAAAACTACACGCGTCTCGTTGGCGAAGCAGCCAGGCTAACGGGCCATTGTCGTCTTGGGAAACCCTCTAAACGACTAACCCTGGTCATCAGTGCCACTGCTGTCGCCAATGTTGACCAATTCAGCCCATAACGAGGCTACAGCCACGACACCTGAAATGTGCGCGTTTGCCTGGACGGTACGCAGCGGACGGTCGGCTCGCTACACTATACAGCGGCCATGTCAACGCACCGCACCGTCGGCGCGCACCGCAGGCGGAGGACCGGCCTGTCATGCCACGCCTTCTTCGCCCACCTTTTGGATGTAGTGGTCGGCCGCCTGGAGCAGGGCAGCCAGCGGCAGCAGGCCCACGACCTCGGAGCCGGCCACAGCCAGCCGGAGGGCCTCTGCGTCCGTCCTGCACTGGAACACGAGCAGGACCGCCTCAGCCGCCCGGCCAGAGACGGCACGCGGACGGAACCGCGCTACCGCTCCGTCTCGCCACTCGGCGTGGGTGCGGTAGCTACCAACGGGGCTGTCAGCGATCGGAGGACACACACGCGGACGGGGCCGCGCTACCGCTCCGTCTCGCCACTCGGCGTGGGTGCGGTAGCTACCAACGGGGCTGTCAGCGATCGGAGGACACACACGCGGACTGACAAACAACCGGAAGTGTCCTTAAAGCATGACTGCTGGCAGCCTTGGTATTTGGATCGTTAATGTCAAGAGCAGCTACACCAGGCCCAGAAAGACAAGATTTCTATCGGTGAAATCGGCTGGACACGGAGTACGCGTTTTCCTCGACACGCCACCAACTGCAGCGGGAGTCACACGCAGCATGAACACCCACACAGCGGTAAAACCGAGCGCCAGTCGGTGGTCTCGCAAGTCAACACTCTTGGACCGACCTCTTCGAATGCGACGTGAATCGGCGTGACGTCATAATCGGTGAGGTTGATGGAGACCTGAGCCAGGTCAGCCTCCTCCAGGTACCAGCCGATGGCCTGGCAGCACTGGAGCCGGCCCGGAGCGTCCGCGCCGCGCCCTCCTTCCCGGATGTTCAGAGCGATCCTGGGGGAGCGGGATGGTGTTCAGAGCGATGCTGGAGGAGAGGGTGTGGTTTTCAGAGAAAACCTGGCGGAGTGGGATGGTGTTCAGCGCGATCCTGGTGGAGCGGGACGATGTAGAGAGCGACCCTCGTGGAGCGGGGCGATGTAGAGAGCGACCCTGGTGGAGCGGGACGATGTAGAGGGTGACCCTGGTGGAGCGGGCCGATGTAGAGAGTGAGCCTGGTGGAGCGGGGCGATGTAGAGAGCGACCCTGGTGGAGCGAGGCGATGTAGAGGGCGACCCTGGTGGAACGGGACAATGTAGAGAGCGACCCTGGTAGGGCGGGACGATGTAGAGAGTGACCCTGGTGGAGCGGGGCGATGCAGAGAGTGACCCTGGTGGAGCGGGGCGATGCAGAGGGTGACCCTGTTGGAGCGGGACGATGTAGAGAGTGAGCCTGGTGGAGCGGGGCGATGTAGAGAGCGACCCTGGTGGAGCGGGGCGACGTAGATAACGACCCTGGTGGAACGGGACGATGTAGAGAGCGACCCTGGTAGAGCGGGACGATGCAGAGAGCGACCCTGGTCGAGCGGGGCGATGTAGAAAGCGACCCTGTTAGAGCGGGACGATGTAGAAAGCGACCCTGGTGGAGCGGGGCGATGCAGAAAGCGACCCTGGTAGAGCTGCATTGATCTCCTGAGCGATCCGGACGAAACGAGGGATGTTGAGACGATACCGGCGCAGCAACGGGAGGTTTGCAGCGGACCTGGCGGGGGAGGAAACGTTCAGAATGATCCTCCCACAGCGATGTGATATTCGGAGTAATCCTGTCAGGGCTAGGCAATTATCGGAACACCCCTGGTGGGGCGAGGAGATATTCAGAGCGATTCTGGCAGAACGAGATGGCCACCAGACAGATCACGACGAAATGAGGTGATGTTCAGAGCGATCCTGGCGGAGCGAAGCGCGACGATACCGTGAGAGGTCAGCTGAGGATCCTGCGCGCAAACGACAGATCACACTCTCGGATCAGTAAGAGGATGAGCCACGGTCTGACTGGCACTAGCAGGGCAGTCGAACAACTCGCATGCTCGTTGCGGTGGAACTAGAGCTAGAGGCACTTTGCATGGTTTTACTTTGATAAATAAGTTACTCGAATCATAGACTTGTACATAGAAGTCTGTTCATTGGTCAATCACGCCATTTCGAAATTTGCTTTATTCAATCAGGTCATCAAGCGACACATTTTAATCAGTCTAGTAACGCTTTCAGAACACTCTAAATCAAGTTCGCATGCAAATTGGAGCCCGGCTGTCAGTCCCATGGCGGTAATGCACACGCCACAGTAAACGCACGGGAACGTTGGACAAACAGTTGATTCCGTTCCGCCCAGCAATAGCACAGTCCAACCCGGGTAAGTTCAGAAAGATGGGCGGGCGAATCGTCCACGCCCCCCCCCCCCCCCAGCCCACCCCCACACCCCCAACGGTCCTTCCAGCGCGCCAAACCCGCACCCCATCCGTTCACCTGTGGGCCTGTTCCTTGGTGCCGAGCACATTCACGTTGTAGGCGATGAGGAACTTCCTGACGCCGGTGACGGTGGCACCCCAGCCGGGCACGAACTCGGCCGGACCGAAGTCCGGCGTCCAGCGTGCCTCCGCCAGCCGCTCGCGCAGGCCCTCGTACTCGCCGGCGCGGATTTGCGGCATGGTGCGACGGTAGTCGCGGGAGGACGCGGCGCCGTACAGGAACACGGGCACGCCCAGCTCCTGCGCCAGCCGCTCGCCGAACCTAGGCGGTGGGGCGGCCGTCATCGGCTGCTGACATCGCAGACCGCCCCACCCGCGAGGCGAAGGCGGCCAGAGATGGCAGCTCGCAGGTTTTACAGGCGTCCGGCCTCGACTTCAAACGCTATAACGATTTTGAGAACATCTTTGTGTCCCGACTGCAAATAATGTTACGATAATTTACAGGTGCAGTAATTTCGATTTATACCCATGGTCAGGCAAAACCAAATAAAAAGAGCTCAGATCAGATCAGATCATATCAGGTCAGGTCAGACCAGACCAGACCAGATCAGGTCAGATCAGGTCAGATCAGACCAGAACGAATCAGGCTACGTAAGGCAAGACAGGCCCGTTGGCCAACGGTCAGGTGATTGCGACATCAGTCAACCAAGTAAAGCTCAAAGCCCGGGGAAACCGTCCAAAACCATCAAAGTCAAATATATAGAGAGCGACAGTGTCCTGCTCCGACAAAAGCACGCTCAACTGCACCCGGTGCGGGGCAGCTAAGCTTGAGCACAGTTACACATTAAACACGCTTTGCGAAATGTCTTATTCCTGCCCCGGTGAACAGTCCTGTAATTCCAGTTTTTGTACACAACACGGCAAAGAAGCGCAATAAGCATAGCTGAACAAAGGCGGCCCGCTACCGATATCAACATTTTAAGGCGGTAGAGCTTACAACATTTGAGAGTGCGCAGCGTCATGAACTTGATGTCTATCATTTGCACGTGAATGAAAAACGGCACTTCAAACGAGAAACAAAAGATCCTGTTGCACCCATCACAGGTGCAGGTCGGGACCTGATGTGACCAAAACGACTAATTGAAGAGGCTATGTCAAAATAGCGCATGGAAAGATAGTGAAAGCGCCGCGAGTCCGCGTCCGCTCCTTCTGCTGTCACTCGGGAGGACTCATGGGAGCCGCTGGCCGGGTACATCTTAAACGCTGCACATATAGTTCCTGAGGCCGTCACAGCCGCTCAACCTAGAAAAAGACAATGTCAGCTCCTCAACGCACTGAAATTGTAGCACCTGTGCATAACATGCGCCACTTAAACACGTTCAGTGACGTTTTATAGTTTGGGATCAGCCCTGCTCAGCACTCACCTCTTCGAGCATTGGATGCACTCCTGCTCGGTGACACCCCGTACAGGATGAAGGGGACACACATCGAGGGCACCCATCCGGGATGTTCTCCTGTCAGAACGACGGCAGCTAGCAGCGGTGGCCCGTTACTAGGTATAAAGGGGCACACGTCGAGGGCACCCTCCGCGGATGTTATCCTGTCAGAACGTAGGCGTATCAGCCGGGCCCCGTAAGGTATAAGGGGCACACGAGTTCGAGGGCGCCCCATTCGGGGGTGTTCTCCTGTGAGAACGAAGGCACAACAGCGGGTCCCGCACAGGTAGGAAGGGGCACACATCGAGGGCACCCATTCGGGGATGTTCTCCTGTCAGAACGGGCACATCAGCGGGTCCCGTACAGGTATGAAGGGGCACACATCGAGGGCACCCATTCGGGGATGTTCTCCTGTCAGAACGAAGGCACATCAGCGGGCCCCGTACAGGTATGAAGGGGCACACATCGAGGGCACCCATTCGGGGATGTTCTCCTGTCAGAACGAAGGCACAACAGCGGGCCCCGTACAGGTATGAAGGGGCACACATCGAGGGCACCCATTCGGGGATGTTCTCCTGTCAGAACGAAGGCACATCAGCGGGCCCCGTACAGGTATGAAGGGGTATACGTCGAGGGCACCCATTCGGGGATGTTCTCCTATCAGAACGAAGGCACATCAGCGGGTCCCGCACAGGTATAAGGGGCACACATCGAGGGCACCCATTCGGGGATGTTCTCCTGTCAGAACGAAGGCGTATCAGCGGGCCCCGTACAGGGATGAAGGGGTATACGTCGAGGGCACCCATTCGGGGATGTTCTGTCAGCGCGAAGGCACATCAGAGGGCCCCATACAGGGATGAAGGGGTATACGTCGAGGGGACCCATTCGGGGATGTTCTGTCAGCGCGAAGGCACATCAGCGGGAGCGAAACAAGATGACGTTTGGGAGGCGACTGAACAACTCCGGTGTGTTGTGACAAGCGCTGGGGGAGTCACTGGACATGTATGATCTCCTGCTGGTCTCATGGGCTCAGCAGCTCAACTCAGCCCATACTCGCTGGAGAGTGGCTGCAAAGAGAAAGGAGTGCTGATGCAGATAGCTACAGAGGACCTTCTCTGGGTCACATCTGGCGGTTCATCGTGTGCGCCATAGGTGTCTCAACGTTCTTCTGGAGCATACCTTAAGGAGACACGGGAAACACTGGGCAACGACATACATCGGTAAATGGTGATAAGCTTGGCGCCAGCAAAGTTGTTTATCAGATGTGGTGTATCGCAAAACACAACGGATAGCAAACATTCTAAACCATAATTTTAGCTGCACCAGAATGAATGCTTTCTGGCATGCCAGCGTGATTGCCAGCAGTTCTTCAAACAACAAACAAATGTTACAAACCTTTCCAGTGGATGGATTTCTAAGGGGACCGGGCGCGCGCCAAGCAGCGCTCATTGCGTGAGCCTCGCCTCGCACAATCCGATCGAGATTTCTAGGTCAACAGCGGCGACAACAACAACTCAACGGCGAAAGTTAAACGTGCGGCAAGGCTCCGTGCTGTTCGTCCTGACCACTGACGTCATCGGACCTTTAGCGCGAGTGTCGCCCCCGGATCCCGTAGACCATCCCAGTCAGAGGCAAATGGCGAGCGCTTAAAGCGGTTCACATCCACCCCGCCACGGGTGGGTGGGTCTGAATGCGGGCGCTCAATCCAACTGAGCTGCAGAGAGGGCCAGATTGACAGCGCATTACTGCGGACGGCAGATTGGCTGTGTGTCCGGATGTCGAATTGAACAAGTAGAAAACCACATTCTGGACTGCGGCATTTCCCTCTGTAGCTTTTTCCTTAAGCGACCAATACCCGCGAGGTTTCATCAAAATCGTCCGCATTCCTGTCGGGCCTGACAGGCGGTGGCAGTTACATATCCTATTAGCGGTACAGATGAGATCGTCCCGGATATGACGGCCACTCCACTGATGTGCGGGTGTGGCCCGTGGTCAGAGCGAGATGGCTAGCGCAGGACTCGACCTGCCGACTCACTGCTTCCCCACCCCCACCCCCACACTGTGTGCCCCTCCCCTCCGGCGTCCTGGCCCGCCTCATACCGTCAGCCGTTTGCGGGGATCGTGTTGACGTCTTTCGTACCCCTTGTTTCTGTTTGGAGTTTGACTTGCGGGGCTTTCGAGTCTTTATCCTCGGGTTTTTGCTTTCCCTCGCCGTCGTCGTCCCTGAGCTTTCGTTACGTTTCGTCCGTCGTCCACCGTGTCAGCACCGCACCGCCATTTCCGCCTCCGGTGAACCGCATTTCTAGTGTTAAGTGTCACTTGTCTGCCTTCAGCTGTCACTTGCCGGCATTACGCCTACAATTGAATACATCAAACACTACTGCACTAATGTACCCCGGCTCGCCGTCTGGTCGCTGGAGGCTCGCTCTCCCTCCTGTAATGTGCCGCCATCCGGCGCGCCGTTCGTGCTTCTGCGGGATACGGACGAGGGGAGCTTCGGTCCACGAGTTCGTTCGAAATCCGGCTGGAGCTGAACAGCGTCGTCGCCCCGTCGCCGTCGTCGTCGAGACAGCCAAACCGATTAGATCGGGGCGCTGGCCGCTGCTGGAGCACTTCCGCACTGGGCAACAGACGAAAATGCTTCTGGACGTTGGCAATTCCTCTACCCCGTGGAAACTAGGCAGCCCTGAACAGTGTTCAGGCGATCGTACACCGCTCCGCGCTGAGATGAAGGAACTGGAGGTGTTCGACGAGGCCGTGGCGCAGGACATCGGCGAAGCTAACTGTCTCCCCTCGCCTGAGCCCGGCCCGGCCCGGCCCGGCCCGGCCCGGCCTAAGCCCATGCTCCGCCTGAGGTTCTAGATATCAGCGTGGCCACCCCTTCCCCCTCCCTTATAGGCGGCTTTCTCCACATTGGTGGAGGGCCGGGATCCATGGTCGGACAGCGGTTTGGGCACAGTGGTGGAACATGCCGCACTCGGCAGCCGACCTGCGGAGCGTGCGCCACATGTCAGGTAACTCGGGAGTGGGACGTCCAAGAGCTCATTTGCACCACTCGCGGGGACCCTCACCCGGTCTGGACCCTCACTCGTGGGACCCTCACCGTGTGTGCACTGTCTGCCAAAACCCACGCCTGTGTACGCGTGAGCAGCGACGTAGGGCGACCACCAGAGCCTTCTGACGCCCCAAGAGTGACCTTTCCACTTTGTCCACTGTTTCCATTGTTCCACTTTCTACTTTCCACAGTTTTTCCACTCCGGCTGGGCGTAGTCGAGGTCTATGCCCAGCCGAAAGACAGCGGTGAGTAACACCCCCGGAACCCCTTCCATGCGCCTGTGCTCCCTCGCCCCTCCCCACGTCCCGCAGACCACGCCTTCTCGGGTGGGCCGCCACCCCGCCAAACTTAGCACCCCCCCCCCCCCCCCCGAGCTCAGTTCCCGACCTCGGGATAGATCACCTGACGCGGCCCCGAGCCCGGTCGTCCCAAATGTGGAGCCCATCCGACGGGTCTCCACCACCCTGTTCGATGTAGCGAGTCTCTCTGAGGCCCGCTCCTTTCCTCGGGCCAAACGGCCTCAGTGGCACGGTCGTCGGCGCCTAGCCCCATCACGGCCGACTCCCTCTCCCCGCCTTCTTGCTCTTCTCGGGCCGGAGCTCTGCTGTGTCCTCAGCGCCCGGCTCTGGGACGCCCGAGGTAGCGGGCCGACCCTTCGGGTGCCAGCCGGACGGCCCCCCCCCCCCCCTTCCTCCGTACGGCCGTTGCGACTCGTCGCTACGGCCCGCGGTTACACCAAGATCCCCCGCCCACGCCCGCGTAGGCGGACCGGGCGATCTAGGATGTCGAGTACCGCTTCCGAACCGCGCGACGTCTCGCTGGATGGCCTCGCTCCCCTCCTCCCTCGAAATGAATCATTCATGTAATGAATTCGTCCTCCACTGGAACACAAGATCCCTGGGATCTCGCTGGAGCGAATGCCAGGAGTATCTCATCAACCAGAATAAACCATTAATTGCCGTCGTGCAAGAGACCCTTTTCCCGGTTTCTGTCTAATTAATTGTAACTCTAACATCCGAAATTGTTGCCTATGCACTGATAACGTAAATGACACACCTCTCCACAATGGAAGTGTATATGTAAATAAATACAACTCTGTTTTTTCACCTAGCCATCATTCAGCGAAGGATGAGGTCTAAAGTCTTTCCTTTGGTTTGTGCAATGCTCCTTGCAGCTGCGCTGAACAACCTACAAAAAACGTTCCACTATTAACGCGCACTTTGGAAGCATATAATGTAGTTATTAAATGATCATGCATACATCTACCGACAGTTCACAAAAAGGCAATCCAACAATAACGCCTTCCACATCACTCATTTTCATCAAGCGCCTCGTCTTTCTGTGGGAGAGAGGAACTCCCACACGCCTGGGAGAGGTTCTACTCACCAGGCTACGCATCGGACACTGCAATTGAAGAGAAAAATAAAATGAAGCACTCTGGGCTGACCACCGATAAGCATCTCCAATTTACAACACAATTTTCCTAGCACTAATAGCACTTGGCCTGGCACTATCATGTTGGCATCATCACAGGAAACAGACATTTTGTTGACGAAAATATGCAATCCTGCTGTACAATAACAAATTTCTGACTTACCTTAATTATTGTTGCGTTAATTATGATTTTGAATTAAATAAGTCAGCGATTCTGCAACAAGACGGCGAGAATGATCGAAAATATGCATCCTCCTTATAGCTCAGAACTAGTCTTCAAGCAGCATATGATTTATTAAATTTGTGACCTCGCACAATACCAAATGCTCGTTTTCATGCATACATTTTAGCGAACCAACTTTCTGAGAGTTTTAATGACATCTTCAGAGTGGGGCAAACTCTCACTCACAACACACGGTACCAGCCACGTTTGGAGCAGACATTTTCAAAAAAGAAACTACGGATGATTTACAGCTGTTTGTATGGGCCCTAAATTATGGAGCGAATAAGTTTATAGATTTGTCCCCATGATTGACCAAATTCCCCAATACAAAATCATAACCAAGATGTTGCGCATAAGTGAACACTAAACCCTCTTCTGATGATATATCTTATCATTTTCTCATAAACACTGTAAACAAGATTGTATGACTCGTGACCACCCATTATTTGGAACTGACTTCTGATCCCAACCAGCACAGACTTGCGCTTAACTGGATGGACTTGCAGGAGACGACCAGCATGACCAAAGCATGGATTTGACCAGAGCTTGTCCACCCCTGTATGCAAGCAACACTGAACCTGCTTATAACATTAGGCACTGGTAATGGGATAGTGATTAGGCACATGCTACGCTTACCCATAGCCACTTTCTGCTTATTCTAACGACTGCTGCTTAATCTAATATGTAAAGAGACCATCCGTCGTGCTCGTGTCTTTTATTTTCTTTTATTGTTCCACAGCTGGGATTGCAGCGACTTGTTCACTTTCTTTTTCTGCGCTGTTGCCGTATGGTCCTGCTGTCGCTGGGCTGCGGATTGGGCGCTCCTGGCTATTTGATCGCGGGGTGCGGCTAGAACATCAAACATCTGCAAAAGCCGGTTCAACAGAGCTTTTTGCCCTAGCCAAGAAGTGGGTTCCCAGTGCAGAGCGTGGGCATTCGTGGCGAAAAAGCATGCTGGCAGCGACCCCCAGCGGTGCGGCCGCCGTGGGCGCCATGGCATCCGTGAGTGTGCATTCGTGTTCAGTTATTCGTTGTACAGTTCTGCTCGACGACGGACTCAGATGGCATGAACACCATGAGATAATCTGAAGGACCGCCGCAGGCTAATATAAACGTTACGTAATGGTGTCACTGGCCTGTCTAGGCAGATGAGGGTGTGACTCGTCCCCTTCTAATGTAAAACAGCTGTACGCTGGCTTCAGTGACAAGAAAAATATGCCGTAGTCACCACACACACAGCGTTGGAATTTCTACTCGGACGAGAAGGGTGCTTCCTGACTTTTGACCGGGAGGTGCAGGGTGACTCGGGACCAGATCACGAATAAGGAGGGCAGAAGTAAGCACAGCGTTGGTCCTGGCCGCCTACTCCGAACACTCACTCTTAATATTTGATAACGTTATAATTATGCGATATAACTGTGTTATGTCATCGCCTCCCTAGCAAGTTGTCACGTTAGGCTCTGCGGCCATAATCGCACAGAGCAACAAAGAGGCGATATTTGAGCTAGCCTAGCCTTGCATCTAGCCAATGACTGTGTTAGCCATTCCTTATCATGGACCCATAAGCAGTGCTGAAGTTTCGTTAAGGTGATCCCAATTCATGTCACCCGTCACCGCGGTAACCGAAGGTCGCCTGCCCCCTTCCCCCCTCCCCCTCCCGTGTGTCCGATCGTTTGATAAGGGCGAGGCCCAAGCGCTCCCGCCGGTCCCGACACATGGCGACGTCCCACCCTTCGTCCCGACCACTGCCGCCAGAAGCATGCATCACGGCGGCCAAAAGCCCGCCGACAGAGCCATATTGATTTGACCGAATCAGTTCCGAGAAACGAGCACAGCCTGTTCCCGAGTTGCATCTTGTGTCGCGGGCCGGCAGACAGATGTCTGGTGGCGGGGACGCGGCGGGGCAGGGCCCTGTCGGCGCTGTCTGTCGACTGTCGGACCTGCCCGGACCACGCCGACCGGCGCTGTCGGGAGCCACTGGGGTGTCATCCCCGTCGACACGCCCGTGTGTGCTGTGTGTGCGCTGACTGGCGGGCTTGGCCGCGGTGCGCGGACGGCTAACGTTTGGATCTGGTCCCGGGTCGCTGCCTGCCGCTGTCCGGGTCACCCAAGGCTCGCCGACTGTTGAACTGGACCGGGGATTCTGTCTGCAGACCGCTGAATCTTACCGCGGCGCGTGGCCTGCTGATCGCCGGATCTGACCGGTGCACTTGGTTTGTGCACTTTCACACCTGACTCGGATATGTTGCCCGCAGGGTGCGGCGGGGCGTGTTGCCTGCCGGCTTTCAGGCCCGACCGGAGTGTGCAGTCCGACGCATGCTGGATCTCATTGGAGCATGCTGTCCGACGACAGTCGGATGTGACAGCCGATGCAAAGGCCGACTCTGATTACTGGCACACTGCCGGTCGAGCCGGGCTGAAGTATAAGTATCCCTTAACTGTCCGGGTCTGACTAGGAGTGTGCCGTTTACTGGCCGTCGGATCTAAACCGAGCTGAAATACGCTCAGAAACTGTTGGGCAACATTTCGCGATTTCTATCAAGTCAACGTCACAGCCATGCCACGACGCGAACTCCTGCAGCCCCCAGCGATAACCTCGATACCTTTGCTAGCAAGCCGCTCCCAATGCAACCAAACGCCCCAGCCTGACCTCGGGTCAGGTCCGGCCGCTCCACTGACCTGAGTGCTGGGCCATGTTGATGAGACGGTGGGCGGCCCGCGCTCCATTCAGCGCCCCCTCCACCACCGCCTCCGGGTCACCAACAAACGTCACCACCGTCCGGTTGGTCGACTGGCCCGGGTCGACGTCAAGCAGCGTGACCCCAGCCGTGCCGCCGATCGCCGACGATATGGCGTCGATGACCTGCGGCAGGGCCACAGCAAGGGGGCGTAATGGGCGAGTGGTCAGCGTCAGCTCCCCGGTGGCAGGCGGATTCGGATGCCCGTTTCACCATGCCATTCAGGTCTTACATGATATATATATATATATATATATATATATATATATATGTATATGTGTGTGTGTGTATACATATACAAATACATAAACATATATATGCATGTATATAGGTTTGCGCGTGTGTGCGTGCGTGTGTGTAGATGTGCCTTCTCTCTAGCAGCATTGTTTTGAACGGGGTTCTTGAGATCCCTGCGAAAATTACATGTCATTTCGGACTTTTTCAAGCAGCCCCAGACGTGTGTAAATTACTGGTGATGTTGATCAGATGACGGTGTTTACTGTGCGTACGCGCACTAAGTCGCCATTAATGTATAATGCTTACTGGCGCCGATGGATTTTTTTCGCCTATGGGGACCTATCAAGCGCTCAAGCCCGAGATGCAATTGTACTCGTATTGCGGTATCATAATATGCACTCCATCAAAACCGGTTGAACTATAGCGCCATTAGGGGACATTGTCGCATTTTGAGGGCCTCAGAAGTCGGCGCCCGTGCCTACACCATCCCCTCCCTGTCGGCTCTGAGCCCATGCTCATGCATCAAACCCCGTGCGGGCAGCAGGATTTTCATTGTAGATATGGTATATCTAAACGGGATATTAAAGCCAATACACAGTGGGACCACAGCAGATCCTGTCCAACGTATGCCATGTCTCACCGACTTGTCTCGTCCTTCCGAGAAGTTCGGCACACACTCCACAATCTTGCTCATTTTGCGTTATTGCGCGGGAACTGTCCTGCGACCACAGCACACGCCTGACCGAACAGACAGGACTGACAACTGGTCCGGTTTGTTTGCCTGGAGGGGCGTAACGCCGTGTCTCTATCTCCAGCTGGATCGCTCTCCCAGAGGCGTGCACACGCCCGGCATTCCAGACCTGGGTCCAGGCGGCGGTTCAGCGCGCCGGAAGCCCTGACGACTTGGTCTGACGTGCCGCCCGCGCTCCGTGCCGATCCCCGGCCACCGGGTGCGGTCGAGTCATGTCTCGCGCCGCCCCGCCTGCAACAGCGACGCGCCTGCCCCATCCGCTCCTGGTGCTGTTTGGCCTCGAGGGCGTCTGGAGGGTGTCGGGGAGGGGGAGGGGACGGCCTCTGATTGGTTAGTCGTGGCCGAGCCCGCCGGCTCGCAACCAAGCACGTTGTCTGGATAGGCAGGCCTTCGTGCGCGAAGCCACGTGCCACGACAAGAAATGAAATATATTTTGGATTTTTGAGAAAAAACGTTAGGCTGCTCTGAGGCAAATGATCAACTGCCATTTGCTCAAAAACAGCCTTGTTCAATTAACAAACATTGCTTGTCAGTGCCTCCGTGCGTGTCAGTGCCTCCATGTCAAAGCGCTCTCGAGTTTGTAAAAGTCAATCGAAGCAAGTTGTCTGCTGTTGAGCCTGTATCAAACATTAATGTGCCGAAAAAACGTTCAGTTTGCCTGATACGACACTTGTCTCGTACAGTCTGCCTGATACGACACTTGTCTCGTACAGTCTGCCTGATACGACACTTGTCTCGTACAGTCTGCCTGATACGACACACGTCTCGTACCGTCTGCCTGATACGACACTTGTCTCGTACATCTGCCTGATACAACACACGTCTCGTGCCGTCTGCCTGATACTGCACACGAGTCGTTCAGTCTGCCATACGACATACGACTTGTGCAGTCTGCCTGATGCGACACACAAATCGTTCAGTCTGCCTGATACGACACAGTACTTTGGCAGTCTGCCTCATTCGACACGCGACTCGCTCAGTCTGCCTGATACGACACACGACTCCCTCAGTCTGCCTGATGGCAGATTAAGTCAGAGTGGACTCAGTAGCTGACAAAATTTGGGTACAATTAAGGTAAGGTCTTATGCTACCGCAAATTTCAGGATCTAGGAGAAGAGACTCATAACTACTCAGAGCTGCTCAGAGCTACTCAGAGCTACTCAGAGCTTCTCTCATGTAGTAACATGGTAGCATAGCTCATGACGAATCAGCGCTAGGCAAGTCATCAATACTTACGTCAAAACAAGACTCAAATCACAAGGCAAAACATGGCTTACTGCGACGCAACGATCAAGCGGCGCTATCCCCTTACATCCCTGCAGTTTTGGCGAGTGAAAAGCTCGTGCATAGTTGCGTGCATGTTACACGTACACCATGCTACACTTAGATCATGATGATAGCCTGCATGTCAAGTTGCACCTGAATCAATTTCATCGGGTTTGATCCTGGATTTTTCCGCATCTTTCTGAGTCAATATCAAAAGAGATTAAAAATCGTTCAACCATTCAGTTGCCCATAGGTGTGCGGCAACAGTGACAACTCGCGTCCAAATAACCTAACGAGGTCCTGAGGCTGCTGGCCGGAGGCGGGCCCAATCGATTTTGCTGTGGAACGCGGGGAGGTACGGTAACGGAAAAGCATAAAAGCGATCGGTGAAATGAGGTATTCATGAGGAGCTCACGACATTTTGCTTTAACGCCAAAGAGCTAAATTATTTCCATGGTAGAGAGAACCATGTAAGCCCGAACCCTGACAGTACCAGACCAAGTATGCAGAGAGCCATGTGAGCCCGAACCCTGCCAGTATCAGGCCAAGTATGCAGAGAGCCATATGAGCCCGAACCCTGCCAGTATCAGGCCAAGTGTGCAGAGAGCCATGTGAGCCCGAACCCTGCCAGTATCAGGCCAAGTATGCAGAGAGCCATATGAGCCCGAACCCTGCCAGTATCAGGCCAAGTATGCAGGCTACGCGGGCTTTATATGTGCTGTGCACTGCATTCGCAAGCGACGTTTTGTCCACTGCTGCCCTAAATGTCCACTGCTATCGACCGATCACAATAAACGGGCTTGTTCTCGGAAGCAGGCGTCATAAATCAATCACATTGGGTTTAAAGTCGGGCACAATTAAACGTTACACTGGACGACATGTTCAAGACCTCTAAACATCCTCACCCCTGACAGACCGTCGAGCAGTAGAAACATCCATGACCTCTGCCGATCAAGACCGCGCACTCGGCTGGGGGTGGGGGTCAATTTGCAAAGTTTTTCCGGAATGGTGTCCGAACGGCGCGGCGTAACCACGCCAGATTTAGCATTCCGTAGACAATTGAATAGCGGATGGTTCGGTATGAAAAATTCAGATGTTTCTTTCAAGGTCTTTTACCTAGAGCAGATCAAAGTCAGGTCATGGATTCAGTGAAGTCAGTTTCTAGGGAATCGTTCCATCTAATGCAGCGATGGAGTGTTAGATGAAGCCATACATCTCTGAGATGCCTTCTTAGATAAAACGAGATGTATTAAACAAATCTCATTGACTTGGGGTCAGGTATGCAGGACAGACTAAGGTCAAAACCAAGCTGCTTTATTACTCTAGGGTTTGCTATATGGGATGGTTTTCAGTGCTCATTTTTAATTGATTGATAACAGGAACAACTTAATGCATCTCCCATAAACTTTTCAAGATTAGCATATTTCACTGGCCTAAAATGACCCAGGTCAACATTCTGTTTTTAGGAACATGCTGCCTAGCGTAATATTTGTCGCTTTTCAAATGCAAAACTTAAACCAGTCGTGTATGATTTTGGTCACCATGACATTCGAAAGATCAAACAAGGCCAGTGGCTTTAAATGGGTATTGGTTACCTTTTGCTTAGAACGGGTATCTTGGTTTTGGGGGCACTTCGGGCGCCAGCTTGAAGTTTGACCTTCTTGACCTGATTTTACCCGAAGGCCATGACCTGGGAACCTAAAACGTTGACCCAAGTGTGTCTACGTACAGGCCAATGCACCCTATGGATTTGGTGTCCAGCTTTCTTAGCTCCTGAGATCTCAGAGCGGTCAGGTTGCCCCCCATCCGAGCGAAGGGTATCTAACCGGCCACCCGGGCGCCTGTTAACAGCAGCAACATACTCACAGTAGAGCACGTCTTAGGGCAGAAATACAAGCAATTGAACGATGTGTTTGTCGCTTGCATGCTGAGAGATAATAAGCCGGTTGAGCGGGCTGCTTGGCTGATGGCTAACCGAGCTGACCGGTGCTCGGTGTGGCGATGTGACCTCGGCCATGTGGCGTCCCCGGTCACGTGACCATGGCGACTGACTTGGGATAACGCTACAGAGGCATTCCAGTCATTGCAATGGCTGCACCACCGCAACGCATTACAGTGAAGGCGCTGCAGCGCCGAGACGTACCGCGATGCACCATTTTGTGCGTGCGAGGCGCACGCCGTCAGCACTGCGAGGCGCACGTCGTCAGTGTTGCGAGACGCATGCCGTCAGCGTTGCGAGGCGCATGTCAGCGTTGCGAAGCGCATGCCGCTAGCGCTGATCTGCAGGGAGTTGTTGCGGGTCCAGTGGTGCTCTAAGCGCCGATGCTGGGACGGCTTCCGTCCGGGAGGTCAAGCGGAGGGCTTCCGACTGCGGTTTGAAGCCTGAACGGAGCGTCCTTCGGGCGGCCGGGCCTGGACGGCTCACGATCACCATGTGACGGAGGCTGGCCGTCACCAGCTCGCGAGCATGCGGGCGGCCGGGCCTGGACGACTTACGATCACCATGTGACGGAGGCTTGCCGTCACCAGCTCGCGAACATGCGGGCGGCCGGGCCTGGACGACTCACGATCGCCATGTGACGGAGGCTGGCCGTCACCAGCTCGCGAGTATACGGGCGGCCGGGCCTGGACGGCTCACGATCGCCATGTGACGGAGGCTGGCCGTCACCAGCTCGCGAGCGTGCGGGCGGCCGGGCCTGGACGGCTCACGATCGCCATGTGACGGAGGCTGGCCGTCACCAGCTCGCGAGCATGCGGGCGGTCGCAAGCCAGGGGACGTTCAGCGGGTTAGCGGTGTATCCCACCCACATGGGCCGTCGATGCTATGGAATAAAAGGCGAAAGCGGTGGGCATAGTCCCAACAGCTAATTATGGTTATGAGCTCAAAAGTGTGAGTGCAAGTCTAAGTCTGGATTTCTGTCGCGTTGAGCCAGAGTCCCACTTACGACTCCATGCTTGACACATTGCATGAGTCGGAGCCGGACAGCGACGTGCCATGGCACATGGTACGTGGCTGGTGGACATGGGGGACATGGCACCGCTAGGAGGTCTATGCTAGACACTGGGAATTTCGCAGGAATTCGGTCCAAATTCGTAAGATTTCGAAGCGAGTTTGAAGTTTTTTCTCGTCCCTGAAGAAAAATCTGACTGCGTACCAGGAGTCCGAACCCAGCCATTTCCACGATCCGTGAGTGCGGGTCCGAGTGTGCTCCTTTGAGGATCGAGTCAGAATCCGAGTCCTCGCCCTACTCTGATTCCCTGAGTCCTTGAACCCGAGTCTGGTCAGTTTCATACGTGGCCTCACGGAGTAAAGACGGTTTAGCGTTACAATGTCACGGATAGCTGTTGTCAAACACAACAGTCTCGATAGGGGATAAGCTCGTGTTAACCAGACCTCACCTTAATCTAGCGTAGAGTCTTACCTAACATCTGGCCGAGTTATGAATTGAATCGCTATCGAAATGTAGGAATGTAATGATAGTAATGTCTTGGTGACTGATGCGCAGTCTAACGTGGGCTAGCCAAACCCGTCCAGTTACAGCAAAGCCCAAATATCCGAACTGAACCTGTGGAAACGGATCTGACCCACGTGACCCGACGCAACCCCGGATAGGTCCGTGAATATCTACTTGTATTCCCAATACCCAGGCTTGTGCTTACTTTCACGATGGAGCCGGAAATGACTCAAGAGTCAATCAAACTTGTGCTGAGTGAGAATGGAATAGATTTATTTGAACTT